ATTTTAATTATTCAACAGAATGTTACGAACAATAATTCATGCTATACACGTTTTCACAATGAACTAAAAGGATGATGCTAAACTATACAGATCAAACACTTTGACACGTTACTATGACATTATATAGGTGTGTGTGCAAGAGAATGAGTGTTATATAATTAAATCCAAAGCCACAATGTGGGCTACCTGAGCTCTATCTACCGAGGGAATAGAAACCTGGATTTTAGCGTTGGAAGTCCATAAACTTACCACTGACCCATCAGGGGGAGAATATTATGTACAATAAAAATATAGACACCAATCTATCTGCATGTCTGTCCATTCATCTGTCTACCTACCTACTTATCTGTCTGTCGAGTCACCTGTTTGTCTACCTACCCACCTATCTATTCATTCAACTACCTACCTACTATCTGTCTATTCATCTACTTGTGTACCTACTTATTTATCTGTATGTCTACCTAACTACTTATTTTTAAGCAGTCTGTCTGTATATATACATACTCATCTGTTTTCCAGCCGTCTGTCTGTCTACCGTCCTACCTAATTTTCAGTCGTCTTTCTTCCTGCCTATCTGTTTGTCCATTCATACATCTACATACCAAGTTGTACGTTCATCCATCCATCCGTCTGTGCGTGTATGTGTGATGTAATATCATGGAGTAAGGTAATCTAGTATAGGTTATGTTGTGTTGCGTTACGTTTATCCTGTGAAATAGCCCAATTCTATTAATCGAGTCACACATGTTTACAGAGAGGATTGGTCTGTGAGTGTATGTGTGATGTAATATCATGGAGTAAGATAATCTAGTATAGGTTATGTTGTGTTGCGTTACGTTTATCCTGTGAAATAGCCCATTTCTATTAATCGAGTCGCACATGTTTACAGAGAGGATTGGCCCAGATGTTTTTTATCCTTCAACACAAATTTCCCAACTGTGTCGTGATAAAACGTGCCACTGTAATCAATGTAAGTTTTAATTGTTTACTGGACCAAAAGCTCCTCCGGATTAATTGAAACAACAGCGAGTGTTATTACGCTATAGACAATTAATCTTCCAGTGATATATTGCTCTACTACCAGTCTCTAAGCTAGTGTGAACGTAATAACTAGTTTCTTGGCATACACACACACACAAAATCAATTTAGGACATTTGAAAATACAAAATCAAAAATTAAGCCAGAAGAGCAGTCCTTGGATGCTATTAAACCGGTTTGAGTTACTATCTAAAGTGTTGTCTCTGTAAAGGAACATTAAAATTCATCCTTCTATCGAAAGGCCTGTTTTGGAGGTGCAGTAGCCTAATTACTTACCTTTTTTAGCTGACAGTTAATCGAATTTATAAAGGAAAAAAATTTAATCATAAAAAATACTTAGGAGAATGAAACCATTTTATAGGACAGATTTGTAGTATGGAGAAAACATTTTTTTTGACAAATTTTAGCGATTGATTACAAATATCAATCAACAGATGTTATGACGTATTCTAAAATTACATACTTTATTTCAAGGAAAAGATATTTTTCTCAAACAAAGTCCCTAATTTCTTTATACCTATTGTTGAAGTAGTTGATATAAAATGCATGGTGACTTTTAGAGCCCTAAGTGATTCAGTGGTAATCTTTAGGGCCTAAAATTCGGCATTATATCTCTGCAGTGGGCACACGCTAGGTGGTTCATTGTGCAGTTTTGTGCTTAACAGCAAATAATTCTTATGTTTATGCATGTTGTCAGAGCCATTTAGACTACAGTACTTCCTCCTAAACCAATTATTTACTAACTCAACCTATTATCTACTCAATTTGAATGAAAATGGCCACTTTATTCACGCACCTTTTATATGAAGAAGCAGGACTACTGAATTAAAGAAAACAAAAAACTTTTCCGATTTAAATAAATAAATAGTAAAAAGGAATGCTGCATTTGATGACAATAAGAACTATAATTATGGCAAGTAAACTATATTTTTACTGAACCGTTCCAGTGGCACGGATGTAACTCTGTGTACTTATAACTCTAGAAACCGGGTTTCGATACCCGTGGTGGACACATTACAGATATCCCATTGTTTAGCTTTGTGCTTAATTACAAACAACCTGGACTGAAGGTGGGTTGATAACCCAAAAAATTAACGATAACGCGAACATACATATATACGTCGGTTTAATTTAGCAAAAGATAAATAAAAGAACGTGGACAAAACTTCACTGGTAAGTCTTGGCTCTTTCAACGTAGAAATGAATATGCCTGGAAGTACAAGAAATTTTACCACATCTTCCCTATAGCCGACTAATTACAAATTTAATTGCAAGAATCTGGAAATATGTCTGCTCTAGGGTGCGAGTCGGCCCTGTGATAGGGCTCTGGATCTCGGATCTGGAGAGCCGGGTTTAAAGTCGGGCGATACCACAAAATATTCCTCGCGCTTTAAACATTATAAGAGTGGCAGTCAATCCCTTTGTATTGGTGGTAGGTGGTATGGTACTACTGAATGGCTGCTTTCCCTATAGTCAGTAGTTCAAAATTAGGAAATGCGATAGATAGCTTTAGTAGCTTTGATAATGTTTGATACAATACAACTATCAAATAAAACAATATTATTGACTGATTCATAACATACATAGACAGGTCACCTACACATGTATGACTAATTTCTCACTTGGCTTAGACCACAGTTATTAGGTTCTGGATTAGAATTTTAGCAAAAATGTAACCATTATCATTGTATTACAGATACATACTATAGTAGTTTGTGATACGTGATATATACACACCCCATGCCTACAATACAAGTCCTGTAAGTCTACGTGAAGAACGGTGTTTGTAAACCATTCACAAGTAATCCCACATAGCTCAAGCGGTAGATTATAGTTACATTTACAAGTTATAATTTTACTGTCTTGTAAAATACTTAGTGCCCATAATACCAAAATTAATATTCACGCAGTAACCTTTAACACGTGATTTCACAATTTGAAAACATATTGTTAGTTTTACTATATACTAAAATCACTTGTCTCTAATACATGTTACATCGAGTCAAGCCCGAATGGCGCTCACGCGGACCTGAAGAAAGCCGAAATCCGCTATGCACTTTGGGTAGAGTAGATTACCGCCAGAGTTGTATGTGCGTGTTAACGGTTTTTTTTCCATAAGTGTTATACGTTGTTTAATTTCTTTTAATAAATAGCATTTATTTTATTTAATTGTAGGCCTACAACCCTACTTAAAAATTACATTATTCTTTACTGGAGAGGTGTAATTTAGGCTTAGAGTGAGTTTATACTTACCTTATATAAGTTATATTGAACATTAGACCAATTGGGACTTCATCTTTAAACTACAACTAGCGTATAGCCCGTCAAAAATGACGGGGCAAGAACTACCACCCCACCCCATAGTATACTCTAACTTCGCATTTCATAATTAACCTAAATAAATAATTTTTGCGAAATCAAGCTTGACCAATAAAGAGGCAGGAAAGTGTAGTCGAGGCATTCAAACGTCGATAAATTCCTTTGTGAGCCAATTTAAATTAAGATCATTCATGTAAAGAATTCGTTTTGGTAACACTACGTTCCAACAATGGCTTTTATGTCATGTTATTTAACAACAAAAATATCTATATAATAGTATTGCCTGTTGTATGTCCATGTAAGTACTTCGTAGGGTGTGGATGAATCTTCACTAAATTTGGTATGGAGGTTCATTAGGCCCATGGGGAGATAAATACAGATTTTCAGTTTTGCGGTTTTTATGGCCGTTTTTGCGTTTTTTTACCACTACTTTGCCCCCTGTTGATGGATCTTCACCAAATTTCGCATGAAGGTTTGTTCGGTACTTGCGGAGATACATGCAGATTTGCGGTTTCGCATTTTGTCTTTTGCAGTTTTTATGGACGTTTTTTACACTTACATACAAGGGAAGCAACTTTTCATGTTCTAAGATAACTTTTCATTAACCATGAACTTACATAACTTCTGTCCATGGGACGGGTACTCAAGCTAGTAACCTAATATTGGTTTATAAAATGAAATATACAGACAACAAAACTGGAAAAATATTTGTTGATTTCTTAATTTTAGAGTCCCTGTTGATTAAAGAGGTTTGTTATGTATTAAAAACGTTGGTGATATAAGAGAAAATAGTTTAATTCAGAAACGATTTAAGCATTTAAAAATAAAAAGTTACTAACGATGCTCTAACATTACGGGATTTGAATTTTTTGCAACGAACAGGAATGCAGCGGAACGGACCTATTTTATCGTGTTATTTTGCTACTCATAAAGAATCCGTTTCTAATTGATACAGTTGATTGCGTATTTCTATACGCATATATATATATATATCCCATTCTTTTTTACCTTTCTTTGTTTTTGTTATATTATATTAGCATGCTGTGCATTGATTTGTTGAAGCAAATAAATTCTCGTATAATTCTGAACAATTAACCTGTTGATTTCGGATGTAGTCTACTGTACATATGTTAACGATAGGATGATGATCATGCATTAAATATAACTTTTATAAACAAACCCTTCTATTTATATAATATAATATATTTTATCTTTTGAAATCCGTTACAGTCCGTTGCTATGTTTTTACGAACCCTTTATAAAGTCCTATCAATAATCATAATAAAATGTGAACAATAAATATAGAAAATTTATGATCAGTAATCAACCTGTAAATTATCCACGTTTTTTTATACCGTTAATTGCTGGTGGGGTCCACATAATGTATGATATTAAGCTTTTGTTTTTGTCGCTTTTGCCAGTTACAAAACTCAGAGTACTGAACTGAACAAATAATTAGAATGTCAAGGGGAACTCAGTAGTAATAATTATAATACTGATGTTATATTTTCTGTATAAATATATTAGAAAAATGTGTTTAAAAAGCTTAAAGGTATTCTTAGTGCTATTATTTTGATTAGTTAAATAATATTGCAAAATGGCTAATAAACATTTCGATTACAAATCATTGTTTTAACCTTACCTGTATAACTCGCATATTTAATCCAGTTTCTTGTGCTAGTTGCTCTCTAGTGTGGCGAGTTGGTTTGGGCGTGGCAGCAAAAGCCGCTTTCAGCATTTCCAACTGCTTGGCTTTAATGGTAGTTCTCGGACCACGTCGTTTTGAGCCTGATGCATTCTCGTCGTTAGAATGAGTCCCAGAAAAATTATTTGTGGAACTATTATTGCTATTATGAACGTCGCTGCTATTGATGCTACAACGTGTAGTAGAAATTTCTGTCTCGCAGATTTGGATCTGACGGTTCGTGCTATAGACGCTTTTTGAGGGGGGGTGATGAAAGTCAGAAGCAGGATTATTACTTAGAGTTTCAGCAATGACTCCTCGATTCAGGCCACGTTTTCGTTTTTTCTTGTCTGAGATAGAATATTGCAAATCCTCTGGATCGGCTTGAACAGCTGCAAATCTTGAGATGAAAGCTAGAAATATATAGTTAAAAAAGAGAATAATGATCTCCCAAATTCATAAAAATCGACAAATACTCGAGTGCTAGACAAATACAGGTAGGTAGACAGAGGGATAAAAATCGATAGATGGGTAAAACAATAATGTTCAAATGATAGCGAAATAAAATGCAGATTTGGGACTGTAGCTCACCAGCGTGGATACTGAAGTATGACAGTAATGTACTTATATCTCAACCACCATTTGATAAAATTTTGTGTGCGCTTATGACTGACGAATCAATGGATCGATGGTCACCAATTCTGTACATTTAGAGCTCCCAGGAAGTGAGAGATGTGAACTTTTATGTCCCCCCCCTTCTACGTTGCTTCCTTTTTGTTTTTCGAGTACAACTAAGCACTAACACATAGCAAGGATGAAAACAAGTAAAATTTAACATAACTTCAGTTCAGACATACCAAAGTTACCAAGTACATCATGCACATGCGCTTATTCCTTTGAATCAATGTTAATTCAGTAACATTTAGAATACCCTCTCTCATTTATCTCTCCCACAGAAAAAGGTAAATATATGTAGTTCTAAATATTTTGATTGCTATGGACGTGTTCTCGGACACTCTAGCAAACCAATTTGTACACAATTGTTCAAGTGAAAGATTGATATAATAAGCTACTATCGTCAGAGGTGTTTGTATGCATTACTTCTAATATTATAAAAAACGTCGCGTGTCACTAAGAAAACTTCTCATTTTATCAGGAACAACAAGTGTTTTTATTTTTCTTCGACATTTGGTCATGGATGACAAGATCACGAGCTGTTACACATGATTTAAATAATAGATGACAGTACACCAACAAGCGGAAAGTTGTACTATTTTGAAAGGGTTGTTTTCTGAATTGATTTTTCATATAGGAACAAAAGACAAAAAAACTGCAGCCTTTTGTTACTGTGCTGTAGATCACGGAAAGCGAGCTACTTGAAATAATCTGAACTAAAGAAATAATCATAGTTGGTTAATTTTAGCTTTCATAAATCAAAGTTAGAACATTGTAATGGTGACTTGAACACTTATGTATATATATATTTCCTTTTTCTTTTGGCAAAAACAAAATAAAACCCAGTCCAGCAGACTACACTTACTTGAAAAATATCAGATTTTAACACAAAAGGGCATTATTTATAAAACTACAGTAGATAATGTGGCAAACATCCGTATTGAAATTCGTGATCATCAATAGACGTAATTACAGTGTTGTCAATTTATTGACTATCTTTACAAACACACATACAGAATTATTCTACAATTGAGTACCCAAACACGTACAGAGACCCCTGTGGTTGTCTTTGCTAGCTTCTACTTTGTGATTTTTATCTTATCACGATTTCGTGATACTTCTTGGCGAACAGCTTGTCAAGCTGCTAATGATGCATTTGTGTTCGTGGATTTCTTCCAAACATTTATATTAGCGGTCTCAAAGTACTGTGATTAATATTTAAAAACAAACTTTTTAGGTTAAATAGAAAAAAATCTATGAGGAAGAGGGTAACCTGTTTAAAAACAGAGGACATCAATATAACATAAAAAGCATTTCATCGCAATATTTAAGTAACAATCTTATGAGTGTAAACTAACAATACTACTGAAGGAAAATATTGCTGTTTTATATTGATAATAAACCAATTAAGCCTAACCGCAATGGAAAAAAATGAGTTTGATTATCTATAGGGCTTGCCTCTAACAAGATACATTATAAGGTTAGTTTGTAAATAAGTGAAATACAGAGGGTTGAGTACGTATTATTAAAACGTGATTTGGAGCCTCATCACATCGTTACAGTTCATGTCGCCACGTCCAGTCAATCTCTATCTGACGATCGTGCATTTTGACAATATCCTCGCAGCGTAGTTTCAATTGCAAAAAACTCCTAAGACTTGCATGACTGTCGAAAGCACACCATTCCTCTCAGCACGTCTTTCACAATCCATCTAGTGTAGAAAAACATATATTTTCTCAGCGCCGTTTTTAACAGCCTAATGACACAGAAATCCTTAGACAATGCATCCGGCATCTTGATCGATGTGTCTTTGAATGAAATAGCACGAATACTCGTGTCATTCTTCAGCTGCTTGAGGTATGCGATGGTTGAACTGAAAGTATGACTGAAAGCCTTATCTGGTTGAACCTATTCCCTATTGGCCTCGTTTCCAGACGAAGATTCTTACTGATTATGCAGAGTACTATTACCTGTGGCTTGTGGATGTCTTTTGTCACTGATCTCAATTGGATCCAATGGATTCTCATCTATTACAAGACACCACATTTTGTTTATCCTAATAAAGGATAATTACTTGTCGTAGATCTTTTTCTGAATGGTCCTGGTGTCCCAAGTTGATCTGTATTTTGTTTTTAATGACATTAAGTACAAGGGATATCCACGGCTTGGAAATTTTAAAATTCCGATCTGAACAAAGCTTTCTGATCTGATTGTATGGACATATTTCATCGGAAAGGGCTGTTACCCAGCATTCTCAGAAGCGATAAATTTTAAGTGATATCACACTATCTACCGAAATGATAAATAATATCAAAATGTAGTTCTGATACATTCCGTTCCATTACAGTGGTTGTTGTATGACTTCCTGAATTGCATATTCAAAACTGTTTTAATATAACGTGCTCAGCCTTCTTTATTGCTCATGACACATAGACATATTTTAGTGTTCTAAACCTGCAAGGTTAACATTAGCACTGGCATTGACTGAATAGTTGCATAAGTAAACCAGAAACAAAGGCAACAGTTATTTTTCTCTACAACTCAAACTCTATAACGACCAGGATGATCTGTCTCCTGATGATTTACAGTATCATGTTCTTGTCTAAGCAACTAGATTAACAAAAAAAAAACCTTCTAAACGTCTTTACTGGAATTCTGTGGTCCTCAAAGTTCCGTTTTTTACATAAACATCGTAGTGACTTTCCTTATCATATAGTCACTTTACAACAGGCAAGGAGAAATTATACATTTTAAATCGCACGAAGTTATTTCTAATATACAAAATGCAAACATTTAGAACAATAGTATATATTTCCAAATACAGCACGAAGTCAATTTAATACTATTAGTAAGTTTAGGTCACAAAGTTTTTAAATTTTATCTTTAATTAATCTATTTGCTACCTTTGGGAAAGTGAAAATTGTTTGCAAGCAAAATCCACTATAAACCTTGGCGGTTGTGAGAGGCATTTGTTGTACAAAATTCTATACTACTGTAATATCGACACGGTCTACCTATTGTTTTCAGTCACTCGTTCTTCCTTGTTTACTGCGTTACTACAGTTTCTAAAGCAATATGCCGACCCTATAAATATAATACGAAATGATAATGAAAATTAGAGCTTCTAGAGTAATAGCTTTGTCATTGTTGTTTCAACTTAAAGTTAAATAATGGATTATTTGCGTTATGTCCTCCGAGGGAATCGAACTCTGGATTTTAGCTTTGCAAGGCCGTAAACTTACAGTTAACCCACTGGTGGACTGATAGCTTTATAGAAAAAAATAAAATTATGTTATTTCGCCCAATAGAATTTGATATTTAAAACACATGTATTGTTGATATCTGACTGTGTTCATCATTGTATTATTAAATTTTTACAAATTCAAAAAACACAAGAGGGCCATTTTTATTCAATCTCAAGTAGCTTGAGGTATAATTATAAGCCTGAAATTTGTAAAAGAAAGTGAATGCTATATGACTTGTAGAGAAACACTAATGTGCAAGCATTTTGAAAATAATTAGAGTATCACTAATCTAAAATCACTTTGAGAACTGATAGACAATTACCTATGTACAGGCATTCGGATAAATGATAAAGGATCATTAATCTACAAACCCATTGAAAGCCTGCAGTGGATTACTAATCTAGATACACTTGGAATACTGGTTAAGGATCATTAATCTACTAGCATTTGGGAAATGGTAGAGGATGACTAATGTATGAGCTCTTGGAGAACTGGTAAAGAATTACTAATCTACAAGCGTTCAGAGAATTGGTAGAGAAACATAATTTACATGTACTTGCAGAACAAGTAGAGGATTACTAATTCACAAGTACTTAAAGAACTGATAGAAGATGATGATCTTCAAACACTCAGAGAATTGATAAAGAATTGTTAGTTTACAAGTCCATGGATGACTGATAAAGAATTACTTACTTACAAACATTTGGAGAACTGATGGAAGTTTACTAATCTTAAGCACTTAAACAACAGATGGACGAGAACTAATAGAAAATTATGAATTTGCAAACTATTCGAGAACTGATGGAAGATTACTAATTTACAATCACTTGAAGAACTAATGGAAGACTACTAATCTTCAACCCATGGACAGCTGCTGGAAGATTACTAATTTACAATCAGCTGTCCATGGACATGCAGATTAGTAATCTTTCATTAGTTCTTCAAGTGCTGGAAGATTACTAATTTACAATCCATGGACAGCTGCTGGAAGATTACTAATTTACAATCACTTGAAGAACTAATGAAAGATTACTAATCTGCATGTCCATGGACAGCTGCTGGAAGAATACTAATCTTCAACCCATGGACAGCTGCTGGATGATTACTAATCTTACAACCCATGGTGAACTTATGTAATATTTGTAATCTACAAACTTTTGGAGAACTGATGAAAGATTATTAAT